AAGAAGATGTACTAGGCAACTCTCAACCACTTGGATTCTGAATCGGCTAAAACTTTTAAACATAACACCACTAACTTTTCAGCTTTATTAACAAGCTATGATTCCTGCTTTCCAGCCTTTGATAAATGGACCATCAGCTCCTCCTCACCCAGAAAAAACAAAGCTTAAGTAAGGGTTACTTCCCGTATTCCACTCCATACCTCTTACAGAACTGACTTTTAAATATATATTTTTTTTCATAAAGCTCATTAAGATCTATTTCAAATCCTTATGAGGACTCCATGAAATCAAATCCACGTGGCCCAATTGTTTATTAAGCCATGCTTACTACAAATATCCTAGCCCTGTCCTTACGCTAAGGTCCTCATTTTCATCTATACCAGAGCTGATTACACTCTTCCCCAAATCGTATTTGTAGACTGTAAGGTCAGATTTTATACTACAGCTATCAAGAGGGCCTTTCATTATTACTTAGTATTTCCCAGCTAATGCCCAAATGCCTCAATGTGACGTAAAACATCCAGGCTAAGTGCACCTCTGCATTGCCATTAGTTTACTACATTTGAATGCTGGAACGACAAAGTTACTTTTGGAGATCAGGATACATTCACGCTAAGCTGTACTTCACAGCTATAGCTTCAAAAAACCCCTACTGATGAAGTATTTAAAAAAAAAAATCACTACTAAGTTGTACATACTACTGAGATCAGGATACATTCACGCTAAGCTGTACTTCACAGCTATAGCTTCAAAAAACCCCTACTGATGAAGTGTTTAAAAAAAAAATCACTACTAAGTTGTACGTACTACTGATTTCTTGGACTTCACTTTCAGAATAGTCCTGAAACTGACTTAATTAACATTCTTTGAATTTATGAGAGTCTACATTAAAAAAAAAAATAGTCATCAGGAAAAAAACTCCTTGTCAATATTTCCAAAGAAAAATAAAGAAGCATTGCAGAATTAAGGTTACATCTTGTTTTAAGCCACTCCCCCAATTACTCATCAAATTTCTTCAGCGTAATCTCCTTTTTTTTTTTCAAATCAGTGTAAGAAGCCAGAGGTGATTGGGAATAGTTTCACACAAGCACAGATGCTTGCTTGGAATTTCCTACTTTGCACCTGTGGTTCATACCAGAAGTATGTGTCTATGGTAAAGCTGAAGAACTAAACACACTCTGGGATATAACTATTTTTAAATTACGTTAATCGGGGCTTATTGTTTCCTGCTTTAAGGACATTCACCTACTTCTTTTTGTTTGAAAACCGCACTTGCTGCACTCAGTTAGCATCCATCTATAAGAAAAAGAGGGGAGTTTCATGATTCTGCTCCTGGTTGAAATCATGTTGCCATGGAAGCAGATGTTGGATTGATGAAAATAGGTCAACTGTTCAAAAAAAAAGTCACTGTTTTAACATGAAAAAATATTATTAGGTGTTATTATTTTAATGCTTACCATTATTTATTATTAAATGTTTAATATTTTATTCTATTTAATTAGCATTTATTTTGCTCATACAACATGTATTCCCACCAAAAGTGGAGACAGCAGTAGAGTTAGTGTTGTTAATGGAAAAAAATTATTTTGCATAAATCTGTAGGGGCTGGGTACAGAATGTTTACAAGAATATCACACACCGTTCTTCATTATGCCTGTACCGAGTGATGTCAAACATTGTCATATAAACAAGTTTACATTTGAAGAGTATTAGTATTACTATTAAAAAGCACCAATTTTTTTTGAAAAAAATCAGGACATTGCTAATACCTATGCTTGGCTTTGGTAAGAACAGTACTTCTTCTGTTTAGCTTTGCATCAAACAGATACATGAATATTCAACTGGAGTCTCAATTACTTAAACCTGATAACAATACTTAATGACAGCTAAAATTTAAGTAGGTTAGCCCATCAACTGAACATGTGAAAGCATACATAGCCTATTAAAAGAAATTACTTGTGTTCCTTAACATTTTCACAGTGCCTGCCAAGCTGTTGCCAAAATAGCATGAACACACCATAACATTCTCATCTTCACCTGCAGCAAACACCAGAAAGTAAAATAACTCACTTGTATCATGTGTTTCTGGATCTCTACTAGGTGATCTAATATGCTTCTCTATCACCACCCTGACACATCTCATGGAATTTTTTTTCCTACCTTGACACGGATGTACTTTAGAGGTATCACATTAAACCTCTAGGACAAACCTGATATATTCTGTTCTGGAGTTTTTCTTCACAGCTGAAATGCACAGTTTAATCCTTAATAAATTTAGTAAAGGTGCATGGCAATACTGCCAATACATGAGATTTGCGCTCCTATTGGAGTTTAAAGGGATCTTCCTGTAGATGAAGTAATACTTATAGGGGTAAGACTCAACAGTGCAGAAGTCCCATAAATTTAATCCAGCACAAACCTACAGCACTACTGCGGGTCTTCCACACACAGTTGCTTGTGCCCTGCTCCCTTTCACCAGTGCACTGGGTCAGACAGCTTCTCCCACATCAGTTCCCTAAGCTGATTCATCATGCACCAGGTAAAAGAAAGTGCCAGTGCAACAGACAAGATGGGACTAAATATCCAGGAAGGAAAGGCAAAAATAGCCCCATCTCTTTACGTTGCCATAAATCCATACTGCTGCTCTTCATAGTCCCACAGGATCAAGCAATTCTCCCTTCTTTCCACCTTTTGCAATCAATGTTTTAACCTGAAAAATGTACAGCATAACTACTGATTAAAAAAAAAATCATTTCTGTAATGATCATTCTGTAAGTATCATTCTGTAACATTCTGTAAGTATCATTCATAACTGTAAAGTATCATTCTGTAACTGAGAACATATTTAACTGTCAACACAAAGGAAACTGTCTTCAACAGAAGTGAAACTCATGTTTTTTGTATTCATTTTCATATTCTTTTTTAAATAAAGTTTATATATAAAATGTGTTTCACTTTGGAGAACTCTTTTGGACCCCAGAAACTTCGTAACTCGTGTTACACTATTTCTTGCAAGATTGTACAACCTGAGATATTCTCTGATTCTTTAAAAAATAAGACCACCAACAAAACCAAATCCACACCTGGGAAGTTGTTAAATATTGATTAAAATGTACTGAAAGACTATCCCTTAGGAGACACCAAAAGTTTCAAATTTAACATTGAACAGTTTTGGAACTGTTTATAACCAACAGCGTTCCAAAAATCACACGGCTTGTTATACTGCAGAAAAGTACTATAAGGCTCGTATGTTGGTTTTGTGTCTGTGTGTTTTCTCAGACAATAAATAGTTTGTAATAACACAAAAACAGCCAAAAAAAATTCAGATCAGCTTACTTAAATGTATCAAGCATACTGGATACTTGGGATTAAAACTATTTTTAAATATACTGTTTCTGACAAGTACATTATGGGTTGGTTTGGGGTTTTTTGTTTTGCTTTGTTTTTCGTTTTTTAACTAAGAACATTAAGAGAAAACTTGACTTTTCTTTAAAGAAATGGTTGCCTTTCCTCTCTTCTGATTTAGCCAGCATTACCCTCCATCAGTCCCTCCACACAATGTTAATTATAGATCGGTGGTCTTCACCGAAGTTGATTCTCAATATAAGACAACATTTTTGCTGTTCCTCCCCTCAGTACTAATTTACCTTTTAGCTTCAAATTTTCTTCCCTTTGTTTTCTTAATCTTCCCGTCCACAGCATTTATAGATAATTTGAGATACACTGTTAAGAAGGAATTCCAAGAGCTACTTAACTACCACACTGCAATTCTGATCATCTAAAGGATTGCATATAAGTAGAATTTTTGAGAGAAAAATATTAGTATTCTCCTATAGCCTACCAAGAAACAGAAGTTTGCCTAAAGACCACATAGCCAGCTTCACATTAAAACAGATAAAATGGGAATAAATACCCAGGAAGCAAAGGCAAAAATAGCCCCATCTCTTTAAGCTGTCATAAATCCATACTGCTTACATTTAGTTATACAGTTTTCATAATATGATTTCTCTGGATATGTTGTCCAGTAATTAACTATAGCATCACATTTAAATTGCCATATTCATTTTATATTAAGATACCCCACTGAGGTTAATGCAAGTGTTCAGACACGCATAATAGACGAATACATCAGGCCATACATAGACTTAAATTTCAGTAAACCAGTTGACATGATTCATATTTAGAATTAACTCTGCAAACCTTAAGGCTTGGAAAATAAAACTCCAAGCAAGCTCATAATTCATTGCCTAACGCTTAACACCTGTAAGAACACCAACAAAGAAGTATGTGCTCCTGTTGCACCTCTGTAAGATGATGCAGTTTAACAGCTACGCATAGACAACTCTGACTTTTTGCCACAAGAAAAGTAATCCAGTACATAAAAGCTAAAATAGCATAACGATGAAAGTCAAGGTAATGCAATAAAAGAAATCTCTGAGAGACAGACACATAAGGGCAAAGTCCTATAATCTTAGTATAAATATAGTCACCCCTCCTTGTCCGAAAAGGAATGACACTCAAGTGTTTACATTACATAGAATTAGGAAAAGATGAAACCCAAATGCTATTACAATCACTAGTATTTATAGTCATCATACATACTTGTTTCAGATAAGCCTTACAGGAAGTATCCATAAAGATCACATAGGAGGTCTTTATAAGATATGCTCAGGTCACAAACCAAGTAGAGAAATAACTAATTTGCAAAAACGTGGTTATTTTGTTTCTTGAAATAGCATCATTAAACTCTTGAAATACATGAAGCAACAAATACACAGTTATCTCGGGAACGTATGGAAAAGTATGGCAACAACAATCACAGTACATGAAAGCACAGAAAAGAAAGAAATCAAAAACCAAGAATTTGAAGTGCTGCTTTGATAGGGAAATCTTAATTTCCTTTTAATATAAGGGGGGCAAGTCTACTTCCTACTATCATTTCCACTGTTGTTCATGTTATTTGCTACTAAAACACATGCGCTGTCTGAAGTCAGACTTACCTCTACCAATGCCACAGTCAGAATAAGGTCCATTTTTGAGTCTGGGAAAAGGGCATTCACTTGCGGAGACATTCCAATCAGTATGCAATTAGTAACAACAGATATCACACTCATAGTTTCAAAAGCCAACTGAAATAAAACACAAACATATTTATAGTTATGACCATTATATCTAATTTACCAGTCCCCAAATTGCTCTGGACAACACCTCTCTCCGTTAAATCCTCAGAAGACCCGTTATTTTATTTTTTTTATTTTCCTTCATCTTTTGAATTCAACGATATAAAGACTTACTTGACAAGCAGTCCAGACTTCATCAGCTTTAAGAACCAGCGAGCACAAGACCACAACAAGGTTTGCAATATCACAAAGACCACCTGGCAACCCTGAACTTCTCTCTAATTTGGTTTCTCTATGTGCGTGTGTGTGTGTTTGCTGTGAAGAAGTTAAACAGTATTCTTCCACAATTCCATAGTACTGTAAAGACCTTGAGAAGTCATTTAGAGATTACTAACATTCTAGTTGTAGGTAACGCCAGATCATCTCCTGAAAAATTTGCAATAACCCTAAAGGAAAAAAAAGGGGATAAGAAAGCAGCCTTATCCCTAGTATCTTCATAATTCATAACCTGAACATGTAAAAGCATACACGCTTATCTACAGTTGTACTACCGAACATAAATTTCATTTAGGATAAAGGAAAAAAAAATGCAAAATTTCTAGAGGAACTAATAGACCAAACACACTCATTTTGGAAGTTTCATCTGAATGTTAAATAATAGGGAAATGTAAGGATGGTTCAGAATGTCTTTTGTAAATCACAATCAGTTACATAAGTTGAAATTTGTTGAAAGATAGATTTATATTTAAACATATGCAATTACACAAGTCTAAGAAGCTCTACAGAGCTTCCCACAAAACGTCTGAAAATATTACTACAGCGCAACAATTACTTTTGCAATATAATGGTTACTTATTCCAAGGTCCTTTCTGGAATGAGAGAGACTGACATTGAATTGTAGCAATTGTCACAATGAATTAGCAGAAGTAATTTTCTCCTTGACAACAAGGTGGTGACTCAGCTCACCTGATAAAATAATTCCAGTATTCCTTTAACAGAAATCTTTCAGCCAATGCTCTAACTTCCCACATGAAACACACAATAAAATTTTAAAGTCATTATTTTTAATTCACAAAGTAAATGCATTTCTACTATTAGTTAAAAACCTACACTACAAAGAACTCCAACATGACTGTACCATTAGTGTTAACAGTTTTTCAGCCTACTCCTTAGATTGAAACAAACTCTTCTAGCAAAACCAAATGTTATTAATATACCTGCAGCTATGCTTGGGACTTGTGACCATAGCCAAATTTATATGGTGGTCACACCACTGGTCAATGCCATAAAGATGCTGGCAGCACAAATTTGGACTGAGAAAAATGCATCAAATGTTAAAAAGCAATCAGGTTATAATTTACACATTTTAATGACTTAATATTAAAAGACTTCTCCTATAAGTTCATTAATACCTACATACATGTCTAATGAACACTGCTCAGAATACTTGGTTTGAACATTTTTACAGCATGTTTCATTTGAGGTTTCCTCATTTCATTTCTCATCTCCCATTTGTTTCTTTTGGTACGAACATTTACAACCCCTCCAAACTGAACAATCAACTAGTTTATCGTGACCTTTGTCTCCATTATGTATCATTAGAAAAACTGTTAAATAAAACTAGAATATGGATCATCCCCTAGAATTTTCCTCCAAACTACTTCACACTCCTTATCAGGCCACTGCTACTACAGAATGCTAAAGTCTCTGGATGCAACTTAATAGCCACCTTTCTTCTCAGAAAAACCTCTACTTTTGGAGGAGTTTTACAGGGTTATTTTTAGTCAGAATCAGTTCACTGATGCAGCATACTCAGCTGGCTTCAAACTACCTGCTGCTAGCACGATCGCATGGGCAAGTAACTGAGGACAGAAAATCCTTAACCCAGTACTACTAGCAAGACATTGTTTAGACAGACTACAATGTTAAGGCTGTGCAGAAAGGCCCAGCTCCTGCTCACAGATCCAGGTTATTTTAAAATCAGTTATCTTGAGTACCAGTAATCACAAGGGCACACAGCCAAGCATAGTTTAGGAACCCAAGTACTTACCTACCATTCCTCAATTTTTTCAAAACCCTTGCCGAGCTCCACATTTCTGAGACTGCATCAGGTGTAACCATCTCTAAAATATTTCAGCTGTAAACAGTACCTAGCAGTATCTGACAGCTTTGTTTTGTTGCAGTTGCAACAGAGCACAACACATACACATACAAGGAATAAAGGAAGGATCTGATTTCTTTTCAAAGGCAACTGAAAGACATGTGTTCAAAAACCCCACCAAAAAAAAAAAAAAAATCAGTTGGATAGATACTATCCTAAGGCATTGAAGAGAACAAAGTACCTACTAAACTGTAAAGCGGCTGACGGGTCAAACACACAGCTTAAATACATCTATTGAAACCTCTTTTTCTATTCGTTTGTTTTAAAAGAAAGACACAAAAATTACCTGCCAAACTCCAATATTTGCTGTGGGTTCTGCAAATGGACGCTTGTAAACTCTACACATCTTTAATGCATCAGAATATATCTCTGTGATGTTGTTCAATACTGCAAAGACAGCTGCCAGTGGATAAACACATGAGAAAAGACTCACATAGCCAAACTGTAAGAATAACTCCAGGTAATCATCAAAAGTACCCTGAAAAACAGAGCAAAAATAAGAACAACTTTAACCCACAAAAAAATATGAAGAAACACAGAATTAACAATATAGTTGTAAACACGCTTTCTCGTCTCAGATCAGATGTTTGGGCATGACTGGTGTTAGAAAACAACAACAACAAAAAAACCCCACGTAGTTCATTTGGAATTATTCAATTACTCAAAACTTCTTAATAAGGGTAGGCCGAAGTTTTTCTTTTGCCTAACGCATTTTCTGCAAGTCACATTTCTTATCCTTATTACACAAAGGAATTGTATAAAACACACTCATCCCATTCCAGTTTCTGACTATCTCAGCGAAACAGTTACAGAAGGAACAGTGAGGGATAGGAAAACGGCACCATGCATTTAAACTGGCAGACCATTCTCCTAAGAGCATAGTGACAAGAAAAGTCCTAGTATTTCAGACTCTCCGTGAAAGACTAACCAGAAAGGCAGGTTGGTAGATAGGCAACTCTCTTCTAGTATTTCTGCTTTTTTTATTTCAAAATGGGTAGGTCAGATTTAGTGGCCCACTTGAAGGCTGAAATGACAGACTGCAGTACTAACATCTGAAAGGAACTGTCAGTGCAAACAAAAAGCCCTATTTTGGCAAATCTGCAACACATCTATCACTTGATTTTAAACCAACAATGGGTGTACTTAAATGCCCATTAAGTACTTCCATGTAGGTTATCGTATACATTTGCATATAAGTTTTGTAGTGTTAATAATAGTTTTCTACGATTGCAGCAACTATTTATGAAAGTAAAGAACCAAACCAACCATTTTCAAAAGAAAAAGGGTTCACTGAACAAAGGATGATAAAATACCACAAGTTAAACCGACATCTAGCTATCTTGTATTCACCCAGACCCACATAGCTTCTTCCCTCTCAAAAATGAAATAATAAAGACTTGACAGTAACTGAGATTATTACAAAAATCACATAAAATTGGTTTTGGCTCCATGCATCAGACACATGGTTCTCTAATTTTTTTGCTGATTAATATAAAAATATTTAAATATACGTATATTTTATAGCTGGGTCTGACAAACTGATCTGCAGGCTAGACCATGAGGAGCTACCTAACTTTTAAAACCATTGAGGTTTTTCCACAGAAACGTTTTCTACAAACTCTGAATTTCAGTGAGGTCTTCCTTAGGGATGTTTGTGCAACATCACTCACTGGACTGGCAGTCACATTATTTGTCCCTGCTATCACTTTTTCAGACAACTGGTGCAGGTAGGGAGCGATGCTTCCCTTTGTGCTCCTCCTTCTGGTAACTGCACAGTATTCTCACTGCTTCCTCACACCTTTCTCCTCATTTCCTTGCCCTGTACCATCTACTGACTTTTAGAACAGCACAGTACAAAAAGAAAAGGAGTATTTCTTTTTCTCCGACTCAATTTATGACATTTTGTGCAGGAAAACAGGAGTCTGATATGATGTTAAAGAAATTTCAGTGTGTCACTGTCAGCCACGAGAGAAGCACATGAGCATCAAGGAAACAAAATCAATAAATTCAGGGAGAAAAATGAATGAGAAGAGAGAAGAAGAAATTTTTTAAAAAATAATAATTAAAAAATGATCACAGGATGTTTTTACATCTTAAACTGGGTTAAAGGCTGAAGATTTGAAAAATGAGAGAGAAAGAAGACAAACAAAAAAGATAATTAGATGTTAAAGAGTAAGTGAAGGAAGGAAAACAAAAGAGCCTGAAACGCAGAATTCTCTCAAGACTCCTGCTAAACTCCTCAGTTACTAAACATAGTCAAATGCTTCCCCCTTGTGACAGATTTAATTTTAGAAATACTCTTGCCTGTTGACAGCTCACTGCTTGCAAACAAATCAGCAGTCTAATCTCATGTATTCACAAGCACAGCACAATTAAAATCTTTAAACTGAAAATAAAATTAAGGCCTTGAGTACACAGTACCTTGAACTGAAACTGAAGCCAGCAGTGGAGACATCCAAGGCAAAGTCATAACTCTACAATTAACCTGTTGGGTCCCACAGAAAATTATTCCGGGCAGAATGGTTCAACAGGCACAGATACACATTTGATCCAGCTCCGCACAAAGCAGCACTGGGCAACGTGACTCAAAGACACTATACTGGCTTTGTGTGTGCCCGCTGAGAATTAGAAGTCAGTTCAGGTCTAAGAGGTAGAGCTTATTTGGTCAGGCTTATCAACACCTGATGTCAATACATGGCTTTCGGTGCTGTGCTGGCCTGTTTGCAGGCACAGTGCTGGGCTGCGCTGATTTACCAGTTCAGACACTAACTCGGG